CAGCAGAGAGCTGGACTGGAAGAGGAACAACTGGGACTAGAACCCAGTGCCCATATGGGATGCTGGCACTGCAGGTGGAGGATTAACCAAGTGAGCCACGGCATTGGCCCCTCATAAAAGATTAAAACAACCTAAAAAGGACCAGCATGGTGGCACAGTGGATTAATCCACTGCCTGCGACACTGGTATCCCATAAGAGCACCAATTCAATTCCTGGCTGCTCCACTTCTGACCCAGCTCCCAGCTAATGCACCTGGGAAAGCAGAAGATGGCCCAAGTGCTTGGGTCCTGCTACCCATATTGGAGACTTGGATGGAGCTCCTGGCTCCTGGCTTCCACCTGGTCAAGCCCCAGCCATTGTGGCTATTTGTTGAGTGAACCAGCAGATGGAAGATCAATTGATCTCATTCTCTCTCTCCCTGGCAAGTATATAAAACAAATCTTTAAAAAAAAATATTTGCCATGGAATGCCAAAAACAGTGATTAGTGAAAAAGTAAATGGATACTACTAATGTGTGGCACAAAGCAATGTATCCTGATCTATGTATGGATAATAAAGGAAGCGCAGCAATGCTTGTGGTTGCAATGAGAGGGTGGGCTACCACCGTCTCGTCAGCACTTTACTCCTTTTTCCAAAAAAAAAAAAAAAAAAAAAGCTATCTGAAGCAGATACGGCAAAACATGAACATCTGTTTAACTTGGCCGTGGATTTAGGGACCTCTGGGACATTATTTTTTGGTGTGTTTGAAATGTCACATGATTAAAGATAGGAGTGCAGATTCAAGTCGTTCCAGACAGCTAGCCTTTGTCCCATAAGCCCACGAGCTTCACCACACCTGCCTACAATCACACATGTGGCCGACTTGGGTGGTCCACCAGGGCGTGAGACCTAAAAATGAGAAGGGACCAGATGGCAAGGCCCTCATCTTTCTACCAGCAAAATCCGCAGAGTCCACAGCAAATACTCCACCCTGTGTGCAAGTTCCAAGCCCAGAGCCTTCCTAGGGTTGGAACTTGCACAGACACAGAGGGTGCAGTATTTGCTGTGCTCCCAACCCCATCCAAAGCCTCTTCTCTCCTGCTCTCCCATCATCCTTTCTCCTCTCTGTATCATGTCCACCCAACAGCATTTAAACGTGCTCTAGTCTGTTCCATCTCCAAACACACATCAATAGCAGAGCACATGCCTTTCCGGGTGATTCCATCACAACGCAGGGCTTCAATCACAAAGGACGTGAGGAGACTCCCAGCACCTGGGTTCAGCTCATCCTCTCTTGAGCTGTGCAGCCACAGACCCACAGCCTCCTTAGCAATTTCCACTTGGAGGCCGGACAGCCACTGAAATCATCATGCCCGTATGCAAAGCCAAATTCACCACGTTCCCTCATCAAGCCCACTCCCCTTCCTGCTACCTCAGGAGCATCGGTCACCATCTATGCAGTCGTGCAAGTCGGAAACCTGGAAAAGCATTCTCAACCCCTTCTATCAGGTTTTGTCCCCCTAAATCTCTCTCTAAAATGTCATGTTTCTTCATCCCAAGGCCACCTTTCTTTCTCACCTAGTAATCCATAATTCTTCACATAATTCACTGGCTACACATTGTCTCTTGGATTGTCCTAAGTGCTCCACACACACAGCTGGAGTCCCTCTCGCCCTGTGACCTGTCACCTAACAACTGCCCAGCCACCTCTCCCAGTGAGCCTGCAGTCCCTGGAGTACCTACTGATCCAAGGGACAGGCCTCTTGTCTCCAGGCCTCTTGCATTCCTCATTGCGCCTTCCAATGAGAAGCCATGGAGAAGCCGGGCCCCCGCCCCTTCCACCCTTCTGCACCTGCTGGACTAACTCCTCACCCCCCAACCAGCAGCTCTCAGGTCACTTTTCCCAAGAGGTCTCCCCTTGACCCCAGACTCACTCAGTTTCCTTGTTTTGTACTCCCCAGTAATCTGTGTTTCACCGGTCACTGTGGTGTTTTTGTTTTTGTTTTTTTAAGATTTGTTTGTTTATTTGAAAGGCAGTGCAACAGAGAGGGGAAAAAAGGAAAGAGAAAGTAAGAGCTCTTCCATCTGCTGGTTTACTCCCCTAATGGCTGCAAGGGCCAGGTCTAGGTCAGACCAAAACCAGGATCCAGGAACTCCATCTGGGTCACCCACATGGGTAGCAGGTGTCCAAGCATTTGGGCCATCTTCTGCTGCCTTCTCCAGCTGCATTATCAGGAAGCAACACAGCCAGGACTCAGTCTGGCACTCTGATATGGGATGCCGGCACCACAAGTGGCAGCGTAACTCTGTGCCACAAAGCTGGCCCTGTCACAGTATCTACCCAGTGTGTTGTGCCGTCTAGTTAACACCTGTCTCCTGAGAGCAAGACTCATTTCTCAGTCACCATTTTATCCCCGTGCTGTTACAGTCCTTGGCACAGGGCATACATTCAATATTAGGAAATATAGCCTTTGCCCTCCGTTCGTGGAATAGTCCAGGCAGACACTCAAAGAAATAATTAGAGTACAGTGAAGTGCTATGAAAGGTTCTATACTTGGGAGGTGTGTGGCCTCGGTTAAGAAACCTGCATCCCAAATCAGAGGACCCAGCTCCAGTCACTGGCTCTGGCTCAATCCCAGCTTCCTGTTGAAGTGGACACTAACAGGCAGTGCTGATGGCTCAAGTAGTTAGGTCCCTGCCAACCACATGGGAGACCTGGACTGTGTCCCCAGCTCCTGGTTTTCATCCTGGGCCAGTCCCAGTCGCTGCGGGCATGTGGGGAGTGAACCAGCAAGTGGGAACTCTCTCTTAATAGATAACTGTTCTACTTCCCTCTGCACCTCCACCTCAAGCCAATGAAGAAATGTTTTAAAGACTGCACATTCCTGTGCGTGTGGATGCTTGTGGGCACTTCAGAAAGCCCATAGAGGAATGGAATTCAAAGCGGAATAAATCCATGCACATGGGTATGAAGCAACTAACCAGCCTCTGGGTCAGCCAGGAAAGGCGCCATTTGAACCAGCTGTCATTCATTCCAGTCAGTCACTGAGCAATTTCTGGGCACCTACTTGGTACCAGGCACCATTCCAGGCGCTGAAGATACCGAAGAAAACAAGACAGACACAGGCCCTACCTTCCTGGAGCTTATTCTACCAGTGGTAGACAGAAACAGATACTGAATTTTAACAAATAGGGTAATTTCAGGCAATGATTCGCACTCTGAAGACTAGAAGACACTGTCCACACTCACCAGTTCAGGAGGAGAAGCACATGCATGTGTATGTCAGGTGGCCCTGTGTGGCAGTGCCCTTAGAATGTAACCCAAACGAGGGAGGAGCCAGACTTTCAAAGGTCTGGGGGAGGACTATCCCAGGCAGAGGGAACAATGAGAGTCACTGGTTCAAAGGACAGAAGGCGGCCAGTGTGGCAGAAACACGATGAGTATTTTTATCTCCAGCCTAGATCTCGCCCTGAATTCCAGACCCACAGAGCTAAATGCCAACCGCACATGCTGCGGGGATGTCTGATAGGTACCTTGACCTGCGTATGTCAAAAACCAACTGAACTGCCTCCCCCAAACCTGCTCCTTCACACGTCAGGAGATGACGATGCTGTGGTTCCAACAGCTCACACGGAAACCTCTGGGGTCACCCTTTCCTCTCTGCCACATCCCATACGTCAATAAATCTTCTCGGCTCTACCTTCAAAACAGAGACAGAATCTGCCTATTTCTCACCCTCTCTGCTGCTACTATTCAGGTCAGTGCTGAAGCACAGCAAAATCAGCGACGGTTTTCCAGCGCTGGGAGAGAAGTGATCTGTGGTTACAGCGGCAGACTGGAGCCAGTTCACGAATCAGCTCACAAGAGACAACTGATAAATCTGGGGGAATGTTGCAAGACAGCAGACATCCTGATGTGGGCATGACTGGAGTATTTGGACCACAGATATTGGCAAATGTTACAATCAGGACTCCTCCTCCAGCACACCTACCCTGCCCAGGGATCTGGGCAGTCAACACTTACTAGCACACACTGCACATACAAATCTGTGTTACAGGAAGGTAAGGCTGGTGGGTGGCATGTGGCAGGTGTGTGTGCTTGTGAATGCATCAGAATCTCCTGAGGCTCTCTGCCCACCACACGTCGGCATGCTGAGGGGCACTTGTTCAGAGGCCATTGGTTGGGGCCAGCACTGTGGTGTAGCGGGTAAAGCTACCACCTGCAGTGCCGGCATCCCATGTAGACACCAGTTCGAATCCCGGCTGCTCCACTTCCAAGCCAGCTCCCTGTTACGGCCTGGGAAAGTAGTAGAAGATGGACCAAGTCCTTGGGCCCCTGCACCCATGTGGGAGACCTAGAAAAAGCTCCTGGCTTCTGGCTTTGGATCGGTGCAGCTCCGGCCATTGTGGCCAGTTGGGGAGTGAACCAGCAAGGGAAGACCTCGCTCTCTCTCTGCCTCTGCTTCTCTGTGTAACTCTGACTTTCAAATAAATAAATCTTAAAAAAAAAAAAAAGAGGCCGTTGGCTGCAATACAGGTACCAACCACAGAAAACAAAAGGTGAGTTTTAAGATACGCCTAGAATGAATGGGCTGTGTTATTCATGCTGAGAGAATTAGACTCCTTTCCTTCATCTTACTTCTTTGTAATCTCAGATTCACTTCTGCAATTCAGACTGCATATCTCACGAGGACAGGGGCTGCACACTCACTACTGCATTCCCACGTGGCCCACAAACATGGCAAGACCCCACTGAGGAGCTGGTTGATGACGACAGGGGGCTCAACGTGGAGCAGGAGTCAGGTGACAGGAAGGACAAATGTGGGGGGGTGCATGGACGTGGTTGGGGCACAGACAGATCTGGGAACTACTGGCCTGAAGGGCATGTGGATAGCCAGCACTGAAACAGGCGGCTTACCCCTTCGGGTTTAGGGCCTGGGAGAGCCCCACCTCACTGTCCCAGGCCAGCCTGCCCTCCTCCTCTAGAAGGGGAGCTGTCACTGAGGGAGTTAAGACTCACCCGAACCTCAGCCTCCCGGGGCCTCCCATTGAGGTCGCACTTGGACCCGTTGCCATAGGTCTGGCTGTGGTAGCGTTTCAGGCGATGCTGCTTGGAGGCCTGGAGAAGACATTGGGCCGCAGGGAGAGGGTGTGAGAAAGACGGCAAAGAGAAAGGATGGCACCCCGTCCCTGCTGGGACCTTGAGACCTCAGAACCCTGGCCCTAGGGCACTGGGTCCTAGTGGCCAGCAAGGCTCTAGAAAGTCGTCGGTGAACCCTGACCCTCCCCTTCTCGCCAGATCTTTCATCCTGCAGCCCAAAGCCCTTTCTCCTCCAGGCCCAGGCTCCCGCCACCTTGGCTGTTTCGTCATCCCAGTCGAAGGCCGATTGGTAGTAGCCGAGATACAGGACTTCACCTTTGATCTCTGAATCTGCAAGAGAAGCCACAGGGAAGCAGTTACTGTCTTCTAAGAGGAGGCAGCGGGAGGAGGGCTGGGGAGGCGGCCACCTTCCACATAGGGGGAACGGAAGAGCGAGTCACCTTCCATGTGGTACTGCTGGATGTGGCGTCCATAACAGAACTCGTACGTCCACCAGTCTTTGGTCTGCCAATTACAAAACGAAGAATGGGTGGGCCCAGATGCAGATGTCTCTTCTCGGAACCAGCCCTGGGCTCCAAGACACATAACCTCTTGTCTACTTCTCATCTCCCTCCACCTCCACGCTCAATTCTCCAGCCCCTCACTGAGAAGGAAGAGCTGTTTTCCTTCTGTGACACAGAGAATCCCAAACTCTGTTCTCTGCCTGGGATCTCCCACCTTTTTTTTTTTCTTCCAGATTTTGTTTTTAATCCTTTGCCTTCTATAAAGATAAGGAATTGTGTTATCCTTGAAGCACTCAGAGCAAGTCAACTAGCACTCCTGGCACTATGCTAAGCACCCGGAAGGCAGCCATGAGCAAGACCAAATGACCTCATGGAGCCACATTCTAGAGCTTGGGAGTCAGACCAAAAATAAACAAACTCATTCAGTTAATATTCATCTCCTGAAAAGTGCCATTATAATAA